CGGGAATGTGCTATGGCTGCTGGCAACTGGCAGGGGTCACCTTTACCAGGGTGTAGGTACAGCACGGCCCCTGCCTGCCTCTGGGAAGACCAGAAACCAGACCCAGCCAAAGCCTTCTCCCCTCCTGCCTCAGATTGCCCCCTCCCTCCCCTGGGTCAGGCAGCGGCAAAGGGGCTTAGCAGGCAGGACACTGGGGTAGGGGCTGGCCAACCATGTCTACGCAAGGAGGATACCCAGTTTTCTTCCTCCCTCTGCCTGCCAAGGGGCTGATTCTGGGGGAGATCTTGGGTTGTGCAGAAGCCCAGTGAGGTTCGTAAAGAGGGGGGCAAAAGAAAGGAACACATATACACACATGCAGCCTGGACACCCTTACCCCTGCCAGATCTTGGGGACACCCTGGCTTTCTGCCTGGCCTGGGGCTGTGTATAGGGTTGGTGCTCAGTAAGTGGCTGTCGACATGATTTGATTCTCCCCCGCACTGTGTGGCATTCACACTCCCTTGCACCTCCACTCAGTCTCTGCACGTTCCCGTAACCCACACTAACCCGTCTGCCCCCCAACACCACACTTCAAAACCACTCACATACACCCCCGCTTTCCACACTGCACAAGGCCAATGCTCACACACACTGCCCCACCCAGCATCCCACACACCCCAGGCCCGTGTCCACCAGCCTGTCACCTACACACTTGGTCTCCCTTACACACTCACGTGCGGGCTCCCAACCAGAACAGCAGCACAGGGGCCAGAGGGATTCCTGTCCTGGGTTTTCTGGGGTCCTGGCCCCGAAGAGGGAGTGTGGTGAGGCCTCCTGGGGGTCTGACTGGGGCAATAGTCTGGGTGAGGCTGCTCCCCAATCTCAACAGCTTGGTCCCTCTAGATCCCATGGGGAGAATGAGACCTGCTTGGGCAGCCAAAGAGCAAGCATCTAGTGCCACCTAGTGGTGCCCCGGAGGAGGGCATGGGGGTAACAGAAGGGGACCCCACTATATCCCCAAAGGCCTGTGGTACCTGGTCTCCCAGCTAGCCAGAGGGTTCTGGGAACCACCCAGGCAGCGAGGGGATGGGAGGAGGAAACTGATGGGGAGGGAGAGGCAGCCCTCCTCTCGGTGGAGCAAAGAACATAGTTCCAGCCCAGTTCAGCTCCAGGGACCAGAGGGGTTGCCCATTTTCCAGCCCCAGATGTCATGAGGCCAGGTCTGAACTGACGCCAAGAACTGTGAGGGCCATGTGGGGGTGAGCAAGGGGGTGGGCAGGTTACATGATTCTGGTCCCACACCCTCCATGTCCAAGTTCAAGATGCTAAAAGGAAAAAAAGGCATCTCAAGGATTGGGGCTGCGGGGGTGGGGAGAAGGAGAGCCAGCAGGGAGGGACAGAGCCCCCAAGAGGGCAGACCCGCTTCCAGGGCCTTCAGTCCAGTTTGAACTTGGCCTCTGATTCCTTCAGCAGGTAGAGGCTGTCATCTTCCAGAAAGCTGTGGGCCGAGGGAGGAGCCCACTGAGGCACAGCTCTGAGAGCGTCCCCTGGGGGCAGGGTGGGGTGTTGCAGGCGAGCGGGCAGTGGGTGACCGGTGCACAGAGGCCTCTAAGAAGCAGGCAAGGACGGGCAGGGAGGAGTACCCACCTGAAGAAGAGGACGTGGACAGGGATGGTGCTGACGTGCCAGACGGCGTGGGCATCCAGGACCCAGAAGAGAGGCGGGAAGTCTAGCAGCTCGAGCAGGGACAGCCCCTGCAGCAGCAGGACCACCACGATGCACTTGCGCACGTGGGGCAGCCGCTGCCGATTCCGCAGGCACCAGGTCAGCCACCACGCCGCGTTCACCAGGCCTGGGTGCGGGTGGGGGCGGGGAGAGGCTCATTTCCCGACCTCCTCCTTTCCTCCCGAAGTCTCTCCTAGCCCCCATGCTCTGTGACCCCAGGGCCCCCTTCAGGGGCTCCTCCCAACCTCCCCCCTCTCCCAGCCCCAATTCTTTTCCCTTCCCTCCCCCTAAGCGTCTCTCTAGAAGCTCCTTCTCTGGGAACAGCACCAATGCCCACCTCCACCCCAAGCCAGCAGCTCTGCAGATGGTCCAGCCCCCCCAGAGACCCTGTCCCACCTCACCGATAGCCACGTTGGCCGCCAGGTTGTAGCCATAGTCGAAGCGGACAAGGCTCAGGTAGGAGACGTGCGCCGTCAGCATTAGCAGAAGGAGAGCCCGGAAGGCACTGGCCACGGCCGGGCGCTGCAGCCCCACGGTCCTGCCCCGCCACCCAGAGCTGCTCAGATGTAGGGTGACCCGTCCCCGCAGCAGCATTCCCTGAAGCGTCCCCTCACGCCAGCAGCAGTGTGGGGGAGCCACTGCCCCCTCCCCCCATCAAAACAGGCTAGCAGGGCGGGCCTCCAATTCCTGGGGGCCTTTGCCAACCTCCTTGGAAAGAGCCAGGGCCCCTGGTCCCACCACAGAGTCCCTCTCCAGAGCCATCTGGAGCGTATGCATGTGCGAGATGAAAGCCCTGGGGCAGCACCCCCAGCGGAGAGACTGGCGACCCCTTTCTGCCCCCAGGGTCTGATTTTGCTCCCACAGCAGCCAAGGCGGGCTCACCTGACACAGCACAGATACACTGAGTGTAGGATGACAGTGGAGGCACAGAAGTAGTCCATTTTCTGAGGACAAGGAGAGCTGGATGAGGGGCCAGTGTGTGGGCAACAGGCGGTGGACGAGGCTTCGTGGAGGGCAGGCCCCAGAGGACCCACTAGGGGTGGGGGCAGGGAGGGGTGGCAGAGGCCCAGCCAGAGTCTAACGTGGGAGCCCTAGGCCTATGGCTGGTGGGGACGTGTCTCGTGCTCCTTTTGTCTATCGCTGTTTCATGCCTGAATTCAACAGACTGACCCTTGTATTCACATACAATTAAAAAAGAAATGTGTGCTCAGCAGCGAGGCTTTAGAGGTATCGGTAGAGGGTGCCCACCAAGACTCCAGAACGTAGGAGCATGCGCAGAATTCAGAGCGGGGTCTGGAGTTCAGCAGCTGTGGGCTCAAGTCTAGACTGCACCCCTTCACTGGCTGCATGATGCCGGGCGAGTGATTTCACCCCGTCCAAGGCTCAGCTGCCGCATCCGTTAAGAAGAGCCAATAATCACACCTGCCTCACAAGGGTCAAGTGAGGCTCAAGTGCACGAATAGGTTTAAAACGCCCAGCACAGAGCAAGTGCTCCGTAAACCGAGTCAGTACGAGAACTAAGAGAGAACTAAGAGCCAGCTCTGCCTCGCTGCTCCTGGCTCCGCTGGGGACTGTCTCCAGCAGAAACGGGAGTGGGAGGGCGCTCACCTCTGTGACGTCGGTGTCCCTGGTGTGGAAGACTGTGGACCAGAACCAAGCATTGAGGGAGACCTGAGGAGGGAAGTGGCTGGTGAGTGTGGTGCCCCAAGGTGGGGAAGACCCCCCAGAGGGCTCACATCCATCTCACTTTGGGGAAAGGGATCTACAGAACTGAGAAACATGCTTCCCCTGGGCCCTGGAGCCCATGGACTGGACAAACCCGTGTCCCTCCACCCCCACCCAGCCCAGGGCCGTCAGGCTCAGCTTCCCACCACCCTGAACCCCCAGGGCCACGGGGGCTGCAGCCTCCACAGGCTCCGGCCTGGCCTGGGAACCAGTTCCAGCAGAGTCAAGTTCCCTGGTTACTCAGTAGCTAAGACAACAGCCCCCGGGGAACCTCACCTCCTCCCCCAACTGGCAGGTGATGATGACAGCCCCACCCGGGCCAGGTGAGCCAGTGACCTCAGCCTCTGGGGGCGGGAATGAAGTGGGTGGGGTGGAGGGGCTCGAGCCAGCTTGGGGTGTGTCCAGAGCAAGCAAGCAAGGGAGGGAGATCAAGTAGGTCCCACTGGGGCCAAGTCTCTGAGGAGGAGCCTGGCCAATGGAGCCCAGCCTCCTCCCGCCGGCCCAACCCTCCAGGCCAGTGGCTGCTGCTCCAAGCCCTGGGGGGAGTAGAGAAGCAGGGCTGGAGGGGCAGCGGTGGGCAAGGGCCCAAGGGAGCGCTGGAGGCCTTTCTCCTGGAAATTAACTGCGAGGAGAGAGCACAGATCATCTTGCAAATGAGGCCTACCTCTTGTGGGAGCTGGCGCTGGCATTTTTTTCAGGGACTGCTGTGTCCACAGCAGAAGCCCAACTACTGAAAGAAGGGTGGGCTGGGGTGGAGATACACACATTGGAGGGCTGGGAAACCAGTCAAAGGGAGAAACAGCCAAGGTCTGGCCTGGAATGCCCTGGAGGTGGGGATGGAGGCACTAGGGTGGTACAGGCCTGCCAGAGATGGGTAAAGGCCCGGAGCTGCTCAGTGGGGTCCAGTATACCAGGAAAACTGGCCAGGCAGGGGACAGAGGGAGCAGGGTAAAAAGCCACTCTCTAGCAGGTGTGCAGCAGGAAGGTCAGCGGGTAGGACGAGTTCCCTAATGCAGGCTCGAGGGGCTTATGAGGAAACGGGAAGAGCAGTGGGGTGGAGGCCTGGGCTCTACTGCAAGGCAGGAAGTCCGGAGGCTCAGGGAGTCCGGTGTGAGCCTGTCTGGCCTGGGTCCAGGGCTGCCTCTTGCTGCTCATGCTTCTCATGACCTGGGCACAGGCTTTGTCCTTCTGGGCCCGAGCTTCCCCCTGGGACACATCAGGGGCTTGTCAAAGTGATCCCTTGTCCCCTTTCCAGCCCTGATGTCAGGTGACCAGTCCAGGTCAGGCTGCTTCCTCCTTTGAGGACGCCCATCCTGTCCCATCCCTGGTGCTACCCCTTCCCCAGAGACAGCAATGGAGGCATGGTCCGGAGGCTGGAAAACGGGTCGTTTTCCAGAGCAGAGTCATTTCTCAGACTCTGCTTCTGCAGAGTCTGTGGTACTCAGGGTCAGCATGGGGAGAGAAGCAGGCCCGGGGCTGGAAACGGGGCCCAGGCGATCACGTGGGCCAGGTCTCCCGGGCAGGCGAGGAACAGGGACACCCTTGGGGAAGAGTAGCCCTGGAGCCAACGTGAGGGGGAGGTGGTGGGGAAGGCAGCAGGGAATGGCAGCCAGCCAGGCCTCCTTGTCACCCATGGCAGGAAGGGGGAGGTGACAGGAGGACTGAGCTAAGTGGTGGCTGGGGGTTGGGGGGGATGCACAGGGCTAGGGCTTAGCTCTATGGGATGGGGCTGGGGGCGGCTTGGTTCCCTGTCCAACTGCCTCCCCAGGGGGCCTTCCACTTACAGAGACCCACCTGAAGCCTGGACTCTGCACCCCTGAAAAGTCCCCTCTCCCCTGGGGAGTGTCCCATTATGGGGGGCTCCTCTTCTGACCCTCTCCACAGATTTGGGAGACAGTGTCATTAACAATGCAGGCCCTAGGGCCAGACTGCCAGGGTTCAAATCCTGCCTCTGCATTTCCTGTGTGTCCTTGGGCAAGTTATTTAGCCTTGCTGTGCCTCAGTTTTCTCATCTGTAAAATGGGAATAACCATAGTATTGATAAGGATTTAATGAGCAATACAAGTACAGTGTACAGCACAGTGCCCAGGAACAGGGTTAAACATTAGGAGTTACTTCTCCCCACCTTGTTGACCAGTGTGGGATCCTCACACCACTTCACAGACTTGAGGCCAAAGAGCCCAAGTCTGCCTCCCATTCTCCCTGCCGGCCAGGGAGGTCTAGGCCAAGAAGGGGTGGTCTCCCCACAACTGCCTAGGCTCATCCCATAGTTCCAGGCTGGGGGCAGGATGTCTGCAGCCTCCATAAGGAGATGGACTCTGGGTTCAAGTTCTGCCTCGGCCCCTAAAGAGCTGTGTGATCTTGAACAAGTAACAGCTTCTCTGAGCCTCAGCTGCCTCACCTACAAAACGGGGTTAATAATAGCATCCACTGCGTAAGAGGGTTGTGAGGATGATGTCTGCAAAATACCGGGCACAAAGAAGCCATTCAGTAAGTGGTGGCTGTTACTGTGGCCTGGCACACGCTAGGTGACCCAGAAATGTCAGTTTCCTTCATCATGTCCAGGGACTGACCCCCCACCACTTCCCTTCACCTGACACACACACCCCACCCCCGCAAAGGTCACAATGTGCCAGGGCAAACCACAGGGCCCCAGGGTCTCTTGATTCCAGATTGCAGATGCCTCAGCTGTAGGAAGAGGCCCCTCCGCCCTGCTCCTGAGCCGCTACCCCACCAGGATGCACCGAAGAGATGCTCTCTTCACTTGAGTGTGTCATCAAGACTCAGGCGAAGGGACAGAGGGCCGTGGAAGGAAGGGACAGCCCAAGTGTACGGCTGCTCCCAGACTCCTCAGCCAAGCCTAAGTAGAATGAGGGGGCCGGGGGGATAACTGGTCAATCAGACAGGCCAGGAGGGCGATGGACGCCAAGAACTCTGCGCAAACACTGAGGAAAGGGGGAGGCGGGGCACGTTGCCAACGAGGGTGGAACTGGTGGGGGACAAGGAAGGCTGGGCGGAGGGAGAGCAGGAGGCTGTTTCAGTCTGTTGGAAAAATAGGAAAATTGAGACAAAAATATCACAGCCGTGAAACTGGTTGGATGCCAAGTGAGCCAGATCTGTCAGGAATTCGACCCCAGTACTAAGCCCCAGTGCTCGGGGCTGTCATTGACACCACTGAGGTGGGGACAAGTGGGTCTTTAAATAGCTCGGTGTCTCAGAAGTGGGGGAGGCAGAATGTTAAATATGATGCCTGCTGCCATCCTGGGCCCCCCCAGAGGCCTCAGGCAGGGCAAGCTGGCCCCAGTTCACTCCTGAGAAAGGAGTGGGCAAGAAGTGGATGGAGACTAGAGAAGGGATTTTTTTTCCACCATCAGAAAGGATCCCTTGGGCTTCCCTCGTGGTGCAGTGGTTGGCAGTCCGCCTGCCGACGCAGGGGACGCGGGTTCGTGCCCCGGTCTGGGAAGATCCCACATGCCGCGGAGCGGCTGGGCCCGTGAGCCATGGCCGCTGAGCCTGCGCGTCCGGAGCCTGTGCTCCGCAACGAGAGAGGCCACAACAGTGAGAGGCCCGCGTACCGAAAAAAAAAAAAAGATCCCTTGATTTCTTGCCATTGCCTGTTCCACTGGCTCTTGTCTGACCGTAGGGAAGTCCTTCCTGAAGTCTAGCCACCATTCTGCTGTAGGCTTAACCTGTCTCTTCTCACAGTTCCCTCAGCAGAGGTAGGGTACAGTTAGTCCCTACCTCCCTGAATCATCCTGCAGAGACAGTCTGGGATTTCCCGGCACCCTCAGCCTCACCTCTACCCCTGAGGACCTTTCCTTGTTGGATGAAGGGGCAGAGCACTGGTCTGGCCTGGCAGCTTTGGCAGAGAGTAGGGGCCCCTGATTCCATGAAGTCAAAGGTCTGTGGAGGGCAGAGTTTTGGAGGGCTCCTCCAAAGCCTGGCTGCTGCCCAGCCTAAGTCCAGGTCTAAATGCCAAGGCAGGGGTTGACTTCTTGTGCCAAAGCTTCATTAGCTCTGCTAAGTCCCGGAGAAAAAGACTGAGACCCACTCCCCTCCCCAAGACCTAAGCTGGAGCAGGTGGGGGGCCCTTCCCACCCCACCCCACCAGAAATCAGGAGCCCCACTTGTTCCAGAAAACCCAGCCCAGGACAAAGTCCACTGCCACACCCTCCACAGAGCTTGGGATCCTTCGCGCTTGCAAACATACACAGGACTAAAGATCAAGTGTAAAATCCAAACTGGATCATCAAAGGGAGTGTGGGCACTGAGACTCTGTCCCTCAAGGGCCTATTGGTGGCGTGAAGGGGGTCCCATGTCCCAGGACACCACATCCCGTAGGGTGCCCTGTGACACAGGCCCCAGGTATCTGTTCCCTCTCAACCTAACATCTCCTGATCTGTCCCTAAGGGTCCTTGGTCACGCTGGACTGCAGGGTACACCTGGGAGGTATGATCCTCACCAAGAAGGCAGCTGAGTGGCAGATGCCAGTGAGATGAAAGACCCAAGAAACAGGGAGATCAAGGCAAGAGCTGTGAAGTGACCACTGGCCTCTGGCACGTGTCGTGAAGACAAAGGCTGGGACCCTCAGACCAGCACGTCTACCCAAGGAGGCTCTGAGTTTAGTTCAGAGAGATCAGGCGGGGCTGTCCTGTGCTAACAGGGGCAGGGGCGAGGGGGCGGTAAAGCAGTGAGCCAGGCAGCAGTGTCCCTGGAAGAACCCCAAGGGAAAGGGGACGGGTGTACTGTCCTCAGTTTCCCCACCCTTCCTGCTTTCTTGGCCAGGACCAAATTCCCTTCTCTGTGTGAGGCCTAAAACAGGAAGTGGTGGCTCTATCCCACCCATGCCTGTGACAGGCTGGGCTGATGCCAGGCCCTTGCCTACACAAGAGTCCCTGCCTCTCAGCCTGGCACTTGGGGCCCTCTCTGCTTCATCTTACCCCCCTTCGACTCCCCTTCACCCAGCCACGCTGTGGTCAGGCTGACCTTCTCAAGGTTGCCTGTCCAGGCCCCACACTGACTAGCTTCTGCACCTTTGCTCCTGCTGTGCCCCCAGCCTGGAATGCTGGAATCTAACCTCCTCTCCTGCCATGTGCACACGCCTAAACCTGACCAGGCCTACGAATCCCGGATGAAGCCTCTCCCCTTCTCTGGGCTTCCCTGAAAGACTTCTCCCCCAGACGATATGATCTCCCCACCTCACAGCTCCCAAAGCTCTCTCCCTGAGCCCTCCTCACCTCTGCCTCCATCCTGCGGCCCAGACTGGCAGGACCTGGACCTCCCACTTGGCTTAGCTCCTTGGGGCGGGGACTTCAGCTACCACAAGTGCTAACCTCTTTCTCCACCCATGGCAGATGCTCCATAAGCATTTCGCACAGCACGTGGAGAAAGCCCAGAGAGGGACTAGGTGCTCAGGCCCTGGAGCCAGACAGCCCTGGGTGCCAGCCCGTCTCCACTATTCACTACCTTGTCAGCTGTTAACTTGGGGCAGGTTTTCCCCGCTCTGAGCCTTCCACAAAGCTCACAGTGGTATTACAAGGATTAAGTGAGAAAACGTATGTACAGAACTGAGGACCATGCCCATCACGTAATCTGTGTTCCATGACTGATAAAAATTATTAACGTCTATTGAATGGGAAGTGTTAGGGAGGAGTTACATCACCCAGAGGCTCAACAGCCTCCTTGCTGCCCTGCTTCCGATCCCCATCCCTCAAGTCTGAGGTTTGGCCTGGACTTCTGACACCCCAACACTATCAGTTTCCCCAAGGTCCTCAGAGATCTCAGGGTCGCCAGATCTAGGGGTGGCCTTCAGTCTCATTTTATTTGACTGAAGCAGAATTCAGGAGAATGGCCTACTCTCTCCTTCCTGTCCTTGTCCCAGGGCTCCCCCAACCACATGATGGCTCATTTTCCACCTCCCCCTCTGGCCACTCCTTCTGTCTCTGTTGCTGGCTCATCCTCCTCTATTCAGCCATTAAGTTTTGGGGTTCCTCGAGGCTCCATCCTAGACCCCTTCTCTTCTCACCAAGCTCCCCCCTGGTGACCGCATCCACAGTTTCTATCACTGTCTCCTAGGCAGAAGCACAGGGGTCATCCTTGATTCCTCTCTTCCCATCTTAGGTTATCCACACAGCCAAGAAGGTAAGAGTGTAGACTCTGGAGCCAGATGCCTAGATTCAAACCCTGGCTCCGCGGCAGATTACTTAACCTTTCCAGTCCTTGGTTTCCTCATCTGTAAACTGGGGACAATAATACTACCTACGTCATAAGCTTGTTATGGTATTAACAAGGTTAATATTTATAAAATGCTTAGAATGGTGCCTGGCACACAGTAACAGCTATGTAGTTGTTTGTAAAATAAATACATTTTAAAAATTTTAATGTCACCTCCAAAACATAGCTCAAACATACTTCTCTTTAATACCTTCCTTCCCAAGACCCAGGCCACCTCTCTAGTCTCGCTACTGTGCCCTATGCTAAAATTACCAACTAGGCCCCACATCCACTCCTGCCCGCTCCAACCTGGCCTCTACACAGTAGGCAGAATAGCAAATCTATTCACGAAGCCCCTTCTCTCCAACCCTCATTGCTTCATGAGGCTTTGACAGTCGAGATCTAAAGTGTTACTGTGCCTTCCAGGCTCTCCATCCCCATCCATCTCCAGGCTCCACCTGCTGCCCACCTGCCCACCCGCCTCACATCCCCTCCCAGCTTCCTGCCTGGTCAGCCTCCTGGCCTTTCAGGTCCTCATAACCTGCGCTCTGTCCTGCCAGTGCACATTCACTCATTCTGATTTGACCTCGCACACCCCTTCCTCAGGGAAGGCTTCCCTGGATTGCCCTGTACTGGTCTAGACCCCATCACACACCCCGGCAGCAGCACACATCTATCCTCCACTCACTTGTTCACAGCTGTCCTTTTATATTCAATTGTGTGCTTATGTGATTAGTACCAGAGGGCAGGGACCTGTCTGTTTTTATATACTTGTGGATCTCCTGCACCCAACAAAGTGCCTGGCACACAGCAGGCGCTCGATATATGAACAAGTGGCTGCTTTGATGGCAGGAAGGTGAGTGAGGGTGGGCTGTTTCCCTAAGGCTTACAGTGGTAGCTCTGGTCTAGAGACATCCACTGCCACCTCCTACTCTCACACCCTCCCCAAGGTTGCTGTGGCTCCTATCTGTACCACAGTCCCTGCTTCTCACACAACTCCAGGCTCTGGATGCTGGCTCTTCTGACCAGCCATTGTGTGAAGCTCAGAGCCCTCTCTGGATACTCAGATGGAACATATTTCAGCTTCTCCAGGGATGGTCTAAGACCAGACTGAACTCCAGATGGAGTGCTGTGGCTGCTACTGCCTCCAGGCCTCAGCTGGGGTTGACAGTGCTTTGAACCTTCCAGAGGGGTCCTTGGAAAGACCTGTGGTCCCCGCATGCTCCCTACCACCCATCTCCCTTCTGTGTTTGTAAATTGTCCTGCTGGGTGTTTCAGCAGCTTCCTGCTTCAGGACAAGAACAGTGTTTCTTTCCCCTCTCCCACTCTCTCAAACAGCCTGACCTAGGACTCTGCTAGGAAGGGAAGGCCTGATTCAGTACCTTCCATGTTCTCCCCAGGCTCGACCATCCCATAGCTGCAACTTTAAGCCTGGAAAACAGAGGGGAAGCTAGGTGGGTGATAATGGGGGTCTAAGAGTTCCTCGTTCCTGGGTGAAGGTGTCGAGCAGGAATCCTGCCAGGTTACCTACCCAAGCGAAGGCCACGCAGGTAGGGTACATAGGGGATGAGGCTGGCACGGAGGTGCGGTAACGACAGAGCATAACCAGGCTGGCCAGGCCATTGAGGAAAGAGGCCACAGCAGAAGCTGGTTCTTGGAAGCACAGGAACCGGAAGAAGGGCCACTGAAAAAGGAGCACATGGAGGGGGGCTGAGGAGCAAGCAATGCCCAGTTGGTCCAACCTACCTCTGCTTGACCTGCTGCATCACCAGGCCCCCGGCCGGCTCCGCAGCTCTGGACCTTGGCCAAAGCCTCAGGGGCAGCCCCTCTTCAGATCAACAACCTCCCCTGCAGTCCCTGGCTGAGCGCTATCCCTCTATCCTGACCACAGCACTCACAGCACTGGGAAGACCAGGCAGGGCAGTGTGGATGGCTCAGTATGGCCTGGTGGAGATAGCGCAGACCTGCCACAGGTCTGTGTGTCCATGTGTGTGTGTGTTTTAGTGGGTAGGAGTGTACAGTGAGCAAGTAGAGATGTTAGAAGACACAGGTCCTAATCCCTCCTCTACCACTAACCACAGCCCTCTGAGCCTCAGCTTACTCTGTGACAAACTGGGGAGAATAATTCTTGCCAACCTCAACACTCTAGAACAAGACCATATTGGATCAAAAGGCATCAGCAAGCTGTGTCTCGCTGGGCAGTCTGAGGGGGTATTATTATTTTAATCCAGACTCCTACTGAAGATGCAACAGAAAGTGTGCCAGGGGGATGCTCAGGGAATTTGTCTTTGTAGCAAGGTGGGCATCTCAACCACCCTAAGCAGCCCAGGACCACTCCCTGGGGAGACTCCAAAGCCTCCCAGATCCTCATACCTCAAATCCAGAGGCAGGACACATTGTTCCCATCTGATGATAACCAGCATGTTTTGAGAAAAACAGGTACCTGCCCCAAACACACATTCATCACCCCACACCCTGGCCTGCTTGGACAGCGTGGTCCAACTAGAGGCATCTTACTCCCATCATCTACCTAACCCTGACCCTCCAACTCACCTTGCCATGGAACTGAGGCACTTTGTGACCTTCCTGGAGGTAGAGGCCAACGGTGACCCACATACACTCATACTTACAGTCATCCTGACAGGTCCAGCCTGAAACAGATAAATATGGCCTGGTGAACTCCCCAGCATAGGGAGGCACAGAGAGAGCTCGAATGGGGCCCAAACTCAAACACAGGCCAAGAGGTCCTGCAGGTTGGAGAGAACCAGAAGAAATCGGAAAATTCTAGCTTCCTGCTTGGATGGATGAGAGATGGTGTAAAATATACATAAGGGAAAGGCATGTGTGTGCATGTGTCTGTGTGTTTTAGGGGGTAGGAGTGTACAGTGAGCAAGTAGAGATGTTTCTTCTCTTTTCCTTTCACCCAAGACGGAGACTTTGGCATCTGATGGACTCATCTGTGGATACCTGGGTTTATGTTTGCCTTTCCTGAACACAGGATTTTCTCTCACTCACCAGGGAGAAACCCTTGCCGTTTTACACCCCATCTATGAAAATGAAGCCCAGATTCTTCAGTCTGACTTTTAAGGCCCCATATTGCCTTTCTAACTTTATTTCCCACTACTCCTTTTCATGCACCCTGCTCGCTCAGTAAACCAAGCTGCTGGATGTGTCCATATCTGTCCAGGGCCTCCACTCTCTGTTCTTTCTGTCTGGTATGCAAAGGGATAGTAAAGAGAAGAAACGTGTAGTCAAACAGGCCAGAACTAAAAACTCCACTTTACCACTTACTGGCTGTGTGATTTGGGGCAGGACACTTAACCTCTCTGAGTCTCCCCATCTGCAAAAATCAGGTTAAGAGAACTGACCTCAAAGGGTTGCTGTGAAAAATAACTATTTTGACACCTGCCACATAGTAAGTGCCCACTATAGCCACAGGCCTAAATTTAATGCATCCATCCAGAAGCCCTTCCTCTCGAATGTTCCAAGATAATCACTGCCCCCACCTCCTCAAAGCCAGAAACGATTCCTTCCTCCCTATTACTTAATCTAAGAGTCCTTTGGGGCTCAAATCATCCTCTCCCTTGCACTTGAGAAGGCTAAAGTCCCCTTGGGGACTGTGAGCCCCGAAGTCAGGACCCTGGTCTGATTTCAGTGTCCTTCCAGGTCTTTGTACCCAGGAGGTAGTAAATGCCCATTTGACTAAATAAAAAGTAAATGAAGCTCCTGGTTGACAGACTATCTAATTACTCTGGGGTTCCACTCACTCACACTCACAGTGGACCCGGGGGAGGAACTAAGGTACAGATTGCAGAGTGGTCTTCGGGGGCGAAAGGGGCAGGGCAAGTCCAATGGGCGGGGCCTACCGTGGGGTGGGGCTTACCTGCTAGGCTCATGTAGATTGGCTGGCGGGAGCGGAAGTGCTTCAGTGCGGCCCCCGAACAGTTCCGCTCCTCGCACCGCAGCACGCAGTCGCGGTACACCGGCTCGCGATCGCCCTGGGAGCCGCTTGCTAGTGCGGCTGCCCCAACCAGCAGCACCAGCCGCACCGTTCGCCCGGCCATCCCTTCACCCTGGCCCTCCGCCGGCGGAGGAGCTTAGGAGTCTTCACTTCCGGAGTAACCGGAAGTGCCTTGTGTTCTTTCATCCACCCTCCGCTGAAGTCCACCCCAGTTTAAATAAGCGTTCCCGGAATTTTTTGGGCGCCTGCCCCGCCCCTCGCCCTAATGTTATCTGCATGTAACAGACGTCAGGGTTAGGGGAGGGGGGACACCAGGTGGGTTAAGAAGCAAAATAAAGTGGTATTTTATCAACATCCGTCTTCTTTCTTTTCCAGGGCCTCTTTATTTCAGGTAGGGCTAGTTTTCTGTCCCCAGCCCTGTCGGGTTTCCACTCCCTAATGTGCCCGGAACTGTCCATTTATCTCCATCTTCACTGGCACCGCCACCCTAGTTAAAGACATCATCGTCTGTCGCCGAGGCAGCCGCATTAGCCTCTTAACACATCCCCCTACTTCTACTTATACCCCTCCAGCCCATATGCTCTATTTCCAAAAATTCAAATTTGACCATGTCATTCTTCTTCATAAAATACTGGCTCCCACTTGCCTCAAGATAAAATCATAACTCCACAAGCCCTGCACGATCTGGCCCCTGCCTACTGGTCTCCCTCACTCGTCTGCCCCAGACTCCCCTCAAGGGGTCATGTCTCTCAAGCCCCGTGGCTCTACCTCGTCTGTGTCACTCTTGCTATCACTCCTGTTGATTCTTTTAGTCTCAACTTAAACACTGCTTCTGGGGGTGATAACACCTGGAGGGTGCTATAACATACAGTGGTCTCTTTGTTTTGTTTACTACCAGCACTAGTACAGTATTTGCCTCAGGTTAGGCGCTCGCTAAGAACGCGTTGTTATTTTGTTTGTTTTTGTTTTTGCTTTTGTGTTTGTTGTTTTTTTAAAGTAAGTGAACAACGTAATTCATCGTAAGAATCTGGGCGCCAAACCAGGGCTGTCAGATCACCAGTGTGATTCAGACCATGCTGAGATAGGAGAGGTGTCCTGTTTCAAGAAAAATTAACAGGAGGATCTTTGGGAATAGGAGAACACTCGCTTCAGTATCACCCCTCCTCCCCACACTACCACCAGCACAAACACACACACCCGTCTCATTGGAGCATTGACGCCTTGTAGCTAGATGCATAATTAGTGTGTGTGTAGATTAATGACTGCCTTTCTTCCTCTCCACTCTCTTCACCCCTGGTCAACTTTTTATCTTGGGAACTGGAATGAGCTGGAAGTAAAATTGGATTTGGATTCTGTTCATTCATTCGTTTGGCAAACATTTCCTGAGCACTTAGCCCTAGCACCAAGGTGGCAAGGCACAACTCCAGGAGGCACCATTCATATTGTATGTTCTGTGAATGGCGCTCAGGGGTGCTTCATTCACATTATATTTTCTGTGAATGGTGTCTCTTCCAGTTAAATATAACATGAATAGTGTCCCCTGGAGTTGGGCACCCAGTTAATACTGATTGGGAAGCTGAAATGAACAAAACAACCACTCAGCCCTCCAGGAGCTGATGGAAAACAATAGAGTGCTAATACTACTTTGCATCTGATGGATCGTTTCATCTTCTTTTTAATCTTAAATTTTTATTTTTTAGTTTTTAATTGAAGTGTAGTTTATTTACAATTTTGTGTGATATATCAGTTCTTTTATAATACATTATTTTATTTTGTACTTACTATAACGCTTGGATGAATCTTTTTATGAGGATCCCCATTTAAAGATGAGGAAATTTAGGATTAAAGAGGATGAAATGTGGACAAAGCAGGAATTCTCCCTTTGAGAGAACACCAAGGTAGAAATAGAGCTCTTTTAAAACTTTTAAGGTTCCAATTTTGGAAGCCTCATCCTATATTATATCAAACATACTAAAATGTGGCAACACCCACATTAAAGAAATTTATAAGTGACTATATATAGTTGAATTGAGTTGCTGTAAATAGTTGACATATTGTTACATTTTGTACATTTTTAATTAATATTTTTGTAGTTTTCTTATCCTATTTTGGAGCTAACATTGAAAATTTGTTCATGTCTCAAACATTTCATAGGTCCTTGAAAACTCATGGCTACCTGATGGAGAAAACAATCCTATGTGAAAGGTGGAGAGGGCGGTGGAGACATCTGTCATGTTGTCCTGGTGGGAGATGAGGTGTTGTTTCTCTGGGACATCTCTTGAGAGTTTTGCCTGCCAGAAGAGCCCTACACAATTACCAGGCTTCTCCATCTCCCCACTTTTCAACACAGAGACCCTCCTTTCCTTCCCCACAGAGCCCCCTCAGCTTAATCTGCTTCCTACCTTGCATTTGGTTTCTTATGTGAGTCACAGCCTGCAAAGTCATTGATTCATTCCTTCAGCTCAGGCTTACTGAGCCCTACTGGGTGTCAGCCATTGCACTAGGAAAAAAATAGGTGAATCAGAAATACTTCCCAGTCCAGGGAGGAGAAAGACAAAGCAAACATTATAGTGTGCTGAGGGCTCATAGGCAAACTGACCATATTCTTAGAATAAAAATGGGAGGATAGTCTACAATGAGGGTTCCTAATTCATCAAATATGTATTGCAGTTTACCATGTGCAAGTCTCTGGGGACAGAGTGATGAACTAGGTGCCATCCTTCTCATGGTCAGAGGAGGGAGACAGACAACAAATGAGTACCAAATAAAAGGCTAAGATAGTTTCACTGCTAATGTAAGAGCACATTGGTATGATCACTATGTAGGATCATTTATCACTGTGTAAAATATACATACCCTGTAATCCGGTAATTTACATAGACTCTCTAACCAGCAGTTTCTCTCCTAGGTATATCTACACAATCTCTAGGTATACCTACACAAGTGCAAAATGGGGTAAGTACAAAGCTGTCCATAGTAGCATTGTTCATTATTTTCAATAGCAGAAAAAAAAAAAAAAAAAAAAAAAAAAAGGGGGGGGCAGATTTATAATGTCCTGACATAGAAAAGCCTTCATGATAGTTTTGGTAAGTATAAGAACAGTGTGTGTGTTTGTGTGTGTGTGTGTTTACACATCACCTCATGTGAGGAAAAATAAGAGTATATATTATGCTTGTTATTTTAGAGACTGTATCTAGAAAGATATATAAGAAAGTGGAAATAATTGTTGCCTCTGGGGAGAAGGGGAATTGTGTGTCTGGGTGACAGGGAAGTGAGGGACATTTTTTATTCTTGTACTTTGAAAAATTTGTGCCATCTGTGTATGTCATCAGTTAAAAAGAAAGAGAAAATGTAAAAAAAAAATTTCATGTAGTCACAAGCATTGAGTTATATAATTGGATAACGTAAGTGAGGGAGGGAGAGCAAGGGAGTGGAGAGGGAGGTGGAGGCTACGTTGGATTGGGTGGTCAGAGACTTTTTGAGAAAGTGACATTTGGACTGAAACTCTCATGACCAGAAGGAACCAGCCCTGCTAACACCTGGGGGCAGATTGTTCTAGGCTGAGGGAACAGCCAGTGCAAAGGCCCTAAGGCAGGAACAAGTTTGGCATCTTTGAAAAATAGAAAAGAAGGCTGCATGGGTGGAAGGCTGTGAGACTGAAGCAAAGGCCAGAGACCAGATTCTAGAAGGTCTCAGGTCACAGGGAAGAGATTAGGCAATGGGAAGCCATTAGGAGGTGTTTTAGCACCAAAGCGAATGAAAGGATCTGATTTATGTTTAAAACATTTACTTTTTAAAAAAATTATTTTTATTTATTTATTATTTTTTTTAATTGAAATGTAGTTGATTTACAGTGTTGTGGCAATTTCTGCTGTACAGCAGGGTGACTCAGTTACACACAGAGACACATTCTTTTCTTACTATTCTTTTCCATTATGGTCTATCTCAGGGTATTGAATATAGCTCCCTGTGCTATACAGTAGGACCTTGGTGTTTATCCATTCTAAATGTAATAGTTTGCATCTACCAACCCCAAACTCCCTGTCCATCCCTCTCCCTCCCCTCCCCTCCCCCTTGACAACCACAAGTCTGATCTCTATGTCTACGAGTCTGTTTCTGTTTTGTAGATAGGTTCATTTGTGCCATATTTTAGATTCCACATATAAGTGATATCATATGGTATTTGTCTTTCTCTTTCTGACTTACTTCACTAAGCATGATCATCTGTAGTTGCATCCATGTTGCTGCAAATGACATTATTTCATTCTTTTTTATGTCCGAGTAGTATTCCATTGTATATATGTACCACATCTTTTAAAAAAAAATTTTATTATTTATTTATTTATTTAATTTTTGGCTGTGTTGGGTCTTCGTTTCTGTGTGAGGGCTTTCTCTAGTTGAGGCAAACGGGGGCCACTCTTCATCGCGGTGCGTGGGCCTCTCACTATCGAGGCTTCTCTTGTCGCGGAGCACAGGCTCCAGACGCGCAGGCTCAGTAGTTGTGGCTTACGGGCGTAGTAGCTCCACGGCGTGTGGGATCTTCCCAGACCAGGGCTCGAACCCGTGTCCCCTGCATTGGCGGGCAGACTCTCAACCACTGTGCCACCGGGGAAACCCAACCACATCTTCTTTATCCATTCATCTGTTGATGGACATTTAGGTTGTTTCCATGTCTCGGCTATTGTGAACAGTGCTGCTGTGAACATGGGGTGCATGTATCTTTTTGAATTATAGTAAAACATTTACTTTGGTATTGTGGGGGAAAAGGGGGCGGGTTGAAAGGGGGCAAGAGCTGTAGAGCGAAGATCAAAGGCCAGCGCTTTCGCCTAGAGAACTGACAGAGGCTTAGACTGGTGGTGGGAAAAGCTTAGATGTACTGGAACGGGAATTGATAGATCTTAAAGATGATTGGATGGAAAGGGCAAAGAAAGGGAGGCATAAACAATGCGGGTTCCATGAATGAAATCATCTGAAACTGGAATTGTCCTCCCAAATCAGGATTTCATGATTGCCCTAGCTTTATGCTCCTGGAAGCTTCCTAGCCTCCTCTTCCCCAAACCAAAAGCCAGAGGCAAGAGTGTCCTCATTCACACCCCAGTGGTCTGTATCTACAGCAGCAAGTGGGGTGAGCTTGGGGTCCTGAAGGCTTGAATGGAGCAGGAAGACCCAGTGCTTGTGAAACAAGGAATCTGGAATCTGACAAACAGATGACTCAATGGGGCTTTCAAGGGACAAGTGTAGGGGTTGAAAGGGTCACGACCCCCACACCAAATCCTAAAACACTGTGACCAGGGACCATTCAGTCCAACTCTCTCATATTTCAGATGGCAAGGTGAAGCCTTATTGAAGGCCACACGGCCCAGCTAGTCTGAGGACAGACCCCCAGATAAAGTAAGGACACATGGTGAGCAGCCAGCACAAACACACCGACAGCACAGGACACGGGATCACAAACTGTGACAGCTGTGTGCGCACAGGCCAGGATGGACGGCCCCGGTGCTACATGCACATGCATTAAAGCCAGGTGAGGCGAGAGCACAAGCGGCCTAGGGAGTGAGGAAGGCAAACTACGCGGGCCTTGGGCCTGCATTCCTGAGATGAGGGTGATGGGCTGAGGGGGGCAACCAGCGTGCTCAGGGTCTAACGAGTCTGGTGTGCCCTTTGGGCTCTGCTCCTTTGCTAACCTGGGGACTGGGGCTAATCCTGGGCCCACAGAGGGGCCTCCCAGATGTTAGGTTGCAAGTGTTCTGAAAAGGCCGCCTTTAGGAAGGACAGATTTTCTTATCAGAAACTTCTAGATTACTCCCCCGTGGCCCCAGAGAGGCCTTGTGCCTACTTTCAGGGTATTCCTTCCAACTAACTAATTAATACAGACACTTCCCCAGCAAACTATGCCCCAGACCAGAGGCCTTGTGGGGTAGGCCCCAGTCTGTGGCCTGGACCTCGGACTGTGGACCGCATCTCGTCCCTTTTTCTGTTTGTTTTCAATCCTCTGACTGCAGGCTGGCTGGTGAGGTAGGCAGAGAGGAGACTCTGGTGCCAACACACACACACACACACACACACACGCGCGCGCGCGGCCTCCTGTGCCCCCAGTCTCAGGGGCTGGTCAATGATTGACTGGCATTTCACAGGCCGCTGGTTCCAGACCCCAGCCTGTTGACCCCTTGAGGTCACCTCCCTAAGCCAGAGCCCCTCCCTGCCTCTTCAGTGCCAGTAGTCACTTCCACTGCCCGCAGACCCAGTACCTGCCACCCAAAGACCGTCTCAGGCAGTTCTGGTGTGCTGCCTTCTGTCCTGCCACCCCTTTCCTCTGCAGTTGTCTCTGTCTCCCTGGGTCCCTCACTGGACGCTTCAGGCAAACTCTTAGGCTCCTCCAGCAACCCTGGCAGCCCCCTGGCCCCCTCCCTTCTCCTCCTGAGGGCACCCCCTACCCCCCCACACCCCCACCCCCACCCCAGTGCAGTCAAGACTGTTTTACCCAGAAACTAGGACAGCGTTTTGGCTGCAGGATGCTTGCTACCGGTGATGAGCATACTGA